AGTAGTTCCTGCATAAACCGATCGGAAGAAAGCCAGAATCACAGCAAACACAGCCGACGAAAATCCACAAGCCAAATCATAAAACCGAAAACAAGAGGTGGGCGGTAGTGGTGCACGCCTTTAATCCCAGCACTTGGGAGGCAGAGGCAGGCGGATCTCTGTGAGTTCGAGGCCCGCCTGGTCTACAAGAGCTAGTTCCAGGACAGGCTCCAAAGCCACAGAGAAATCCTGTCTCGAAAAACCAAAAAAAAAAAAAAAAAAAAAACCGAAAACAACACTGATGCCCAAGACAGGAAGTCTTTGCTTAACCCATAGTTCTATAGAAGTACTCCTAGCTAGCCATAATTAAAGGTCTTTGAGGCTATTATTCGTGATCCTAGAGAAGCTGGATAGGAGGGTGAACCTGAAAAAAAACCAGGTAGTTTTTCTCCTGGAGATTGGAAATAGAATCTGAGTCCCAGATCCTTCAGCTGGCGATGGATGGAGATGGAGACGGAGACCCACATTGGAACACTGGACTTAACTCCCTAGGTCCAAACGAGAAGCAGAAGGAAAGAGAAGGTGAGCAAGGAAGGCAAGATCAGAGGTAACCTTCATCCGACGAGGGATGGCGATACAGACGGAGACCCACATTGGAGCACCGGACCGAGTCCCCAAAGGTCCAAACGAGGAGCAGAAGGAGGAAGAACATGAGGAAGGAGATCGGGACCGCGAGGGGTACGATCACCCACTGATACAAGGGGACTGATCTAATGAGGGTTCACCAAGGCCTGTTGTCTTGGACTGAGCGAGCACGTAATCCAGCCAGATTCTCTGATTGAGGTCAGATTCTCTGAATGTGGCTGGCCCGGAGTCTTTCTGAAAAGCCATCGACAATGACACTGAGACTTGTTTCCTCTGCATATACTGGATTTTTGGGATCCAGTCTGTTTGGATGCTCACCTTCCTGGACCTGGAGGGAGGGGGGGGGAGGAGCTTGGAATGCCCGCAGGGCAGGAGACCCTGACTGCTATTGGGGATGGAGAGGGAGGAGGGGAGAGAGTGGGGGGAGTGGGAGGGTGTTGGGAGGAGGGGCGGAAATGGAGACTTTTGTATTTTAATAAACTTTGAGGAAAAAAAAAAAGAAGTACTCCTAGATGACAGCTGCCCAGAAGAACCCAGAACATGAAGATTTTTAAAGTCATCATAAATTTTTATCAGAGAATTCAAGGAATTTAAAGAGAACATAAACACTTCACTGAACTCCTAGACCCTCAGCAGTGTTCGCGATTGTACAATATACGGCAAATGAATGATGAAAAAGATAGTCTGGCTGTTTGGTTTATCATTTCGCTGTCTCTCTCTCTCTCTCTTTTTTTTTTCAAGACAGGGTTTCTCTGCAGCTTTGCAGCCTGTCCTGGAACTAGCTCTTGTAGATCAGGCTGCCTCAAACTCACAGAGATCCGCCTGCCTCTGCCTCCCAAGTGCTGGGATTAAAGGTGTTCGCCACCACCACCTGGTTATTTATCATTTTTTATTATGCCCTGGAGGAACTGCTTTTACTTAGAATATGTAGAAGAGAAAATTTAAATATTTGATTTTTACTTTTATCTGAAAAGCATACGAATTAGGCTTCAGATCTTCGACCCTGGCACTTTTCAGAAATGGTGGCTTTTCTTTCCCCGCTGGGTCCACAGCTGTTGAGCTCTCAGCTCTGCCTCAGTTTGTGTCAGGGACAGGAGAAAGCTCCACGGCACTTGGGATTTCTGGTGATAAGTCCATTCTGGCTGTTTTTGTCCCAGAAGTAACTATGTGAGATGATAGTTTGCCACACTACAGAAACCATTTTATAACCTCCATGTCCCTTAGACCATCATACAGTAGACCTCAGATATGCACAATAAAATTTATTTAGGCGTAAAAAATAAAAACGTGCAGATGAAACAGCTGAAAGAATGCATTAAGTAGAGTAAAATAAAGAAGTCTGAGGCGGGTAGCCCAGTTCAATGGCAGAGTGCTCACCTAGAATGTATGAGGCCCTGGGTTCAGTCTCCAGCACCATTCACACAAAACATAAATAAAATGTATAGAAGAAGATAAATAAAAGGTATAGCAATAAACATAAAAGTATGAGTATGCATAGCCTCTTTCATCTACTAGGAAATATCTTACTACTGTTTTTCTACTGTTTATAGCTTGTCTTCCGCTCTTCCCTCAAATTTAGCCTTTATGAGTAAGTATATCAGGGTGAAGAGGGTTAAGTGGGTATGTTTGTGTGTGTGTATGTGTGTGTGTGCATGTGTGCATGCATGCATGTGTGCACATATAAATATAGTGTGTGTATATATAGTGTGTGTTTATATATAGCATGTGTGTATATATACTGTGTATGTATATATAGTATGTGTATATATGTATAGTGTGTGTATATAGTGTGTATGTGTATGTATAATGTGTATATATACTGTGTGTGCATTAATAGTATATGTGTATATGTAGTAAATATATAGTATGTGTGTACTATATAGTATATAGTATGTGTGTGTGTGTGTGTGTGTATGTGTGTGTGTGTGTGTGTGTGTGTGTACACCAATTTTCTCACCCGTGTTATTGAGTAGAGGAAAGCAAGCCAGGAGCGAGAGCAGGCAGGAAATGTTGAAGGGAAGACTGGTGAAATTAGCACAGAAAAGTCAGAAACTGCTGGGAAAGTGGGTCCTAGGTACAACCGACCCCGCACACTTCTGGGAACTCTTGACACAGATTCTGAGGAACACCTGCTGTTAATAAGAGTGTTTTCAATGACAAGAAAACACCAGTTTATCAAGAGACTGCAGATGCCTACTACCCCAACTTCCAGTATTTTTGATATGTTTCCAAACTCCTTTCTTTGAATTTTACATCATACCGGTTGACCTAATTCATATTACCAAATAGCAGGGACAAAAGGATCGCTTTCTGTTCAGATATTCTGCATTGAAATAAATGAATGGCTCCTAATTTTAAGACTAAATTAGAAACACATGAAGGAACTGTAAAGCATGGGGCGTTGGTCATCTCGTGAAACTCAGGGGAGAGCTCTACTTGGAACCTTTAGCATCACCATTCCAGAGCTCCCTGGAATCATCGGCGGATCTTTCCACGTGTTTCTTGTATCTGCTAGTGTGCTTAACTAGTGTATTTGCCTTCCCTTTTTTCCAAGAACGTTCTCATTATAGAATCCATATCACCTAGAGTTCCCCCATCCCCTGATTGGGATCAAACCAGGGCATCTTGAATTGCTGGTAAAGTTATTTGACCAATGAGTTAGATGCCCAGCCCCAGCTCTTGTGTACTGGAAGCTCACTGATGACAGAGAGGATATTTTCTCTCTACAGTGATGCAGTAAGGAACAGCGGAGGCCTTTCTTGGAGTCAGACACACCTAAGTTCCAATCTTAGCTCTGGCAATTTCTCAGTTCAAATGAGTGAAACAGAGAGCACAAGTGGAAAAAGAGCAAGGAAGGGCATATGGGAGAATCTGGAAGGAGGAAAAAAGAGGGAGACATGATGTAATTATATTATTAAACTCAAAAATAAAAGAAATGGGGGAGTAGTTGGCTGGAGAGGTGTCTCAACAGGTAAAGGCACTTGCTGCCAAGTCTGTGACCTCAGCCCAGTCCCCAGGACGTACACAGTGGAAGAAGTTGACTCCTCGGTTGTCTTCCGAACCTCCTCTCTCTCTCTCTCTCTCTCTCTCTCTCTCTCTCTGTGTGTGTGTGTGTGTGTGTGTGTGAGAGAGAGAGAGAGAGAGAGACAGATGTGACTTCACCTTGTTCAGTCCCGATGCTCACGTCTGTAAACTGAAATATTAATGCCTATTTTCCTCAATTGTAAACATTCCATGAGAAGATAGGGGAAAGCATTTATCCCGGTGACTGCTATACACACAGTTTTAAACCAAAAGTCACCATTATTATGTGTCTCTCCTTTCCTGGGGGCATCCTATGAAGCACAGAAGGACCTTGACTGAGCAAATTACAGCTATAAGGACAAAAACATTTTAGAGGAACCCAGGGGCCATCACCCTTGACTTACTTTTTTTCTAAGATTTATTTTTATTTTTACTTCTGTGTATATGTATGTGTGTGCCACCTATGTGCTAATTAATGCCCAGAAAAGAGTGCTGGAACTGGAGTTCCATGTAATTGTGAGCCAGCCAGTATGAGTTAGGAACACATTCAAGTCTGCCAGAAGAGCAGCAAGTGCTCTTTACCTCTGAACCATCTCTCCAGTCCTACACTTGACTTATTAAACCTTTATTTTCCCCTATTGTCTTACTATTTGTGCCACTGGGGTTGCCATGGAGCTCGGTGGCATTATCCTACACCAAAGGGGCCTCACTGGGGTGGGAAAGGAGAAAGTGTAGGTCCCAGGGCCTCTCTCTGGGAGCACTACTGTTCTCACGGAGAAACCAACCCCCATCCTCTGTTCCTTTGCTGCTCAACCACCCACGTCTTCCCGTGGTCATGATGACTTTGGAGAATCACCTAGTGATGAGAATGTTTCTTGACTAACCTCCCTCTGTGGCGGGGTCCCTGGTAGCTAGACACCCTCTTCAACTCCATCTCCTACAAGAAGTGTTTCCTGTCCCTAGGGTGTGTGTCTCTCTCTCATGCAAAAACTTGCAGCGCACACTGCCCTGCTCCAGCTACCAGCTTCCTGTCACTTCCCCCAGTGAACTGCAAGGCCTCTGGGAGCAAAGTCTGGCTTGGCTTCCTGTTTGGTCAGTGCCAAGAGCACCTGTGTTCCTAAGCAATAGGGCTGCTGAGCTGAGTTCCAGTGAAGCCGGTCCCAAGGCTTTAGCCTTGAGCAAAGCTCCAAACCAAGAGTTTACGCTGCAGAACCCCTCCTTTGAGCAACTAAAGATGTTTAAGACTCACGGGGAGTGTGTATGTGTGCATGTGTGTGTGTGTGTGTGTGTGTGTGTGTGTGTGTGTGTGTGTGTGAGAATATGACCAATATGCATAGTATGAAATGCTCAAATAATAAAAAATATATTTTCAAAAAGACTCACTGGAGGAAGTTACCAGAAATAGATTTCAACAAGCTGGAAGGACTGGGGGTGGAACGGGGGTTGTGTTTAGAAAACAAAGATTTCCAAGAGGCTAACATCAACCTTTTCCCTCTCCATAATTTAATTTTTTTCTCACCACTCAGTTATTACCCAGGAACAGGGTAAAAATTCAATACCTGCCGCAGTGCAACGGCTGGGAAGCATTTGAAAGAGCCCTGACTGTATAAGCAGACGGATATTACTCTACTGGTCATAGAAAATTAATAAACATTTCTCTGGTTCTAAATATGACTTTCAAATCATCCAACACATTAACCTTTTCAAAATACGAATTCTTCCATCTCGATGACCGTTACCCCATAGTTTGCTATAAAGTTCCATCTTTAGCTGGACAGGGTGAAATTAACCTCCGGGAAAATGTACAAAGTCAGTAACTCACTTTTTTCACTTCTCATGGGAAATAAAACAGAATTCCCATTTCCACTTCGTCATTGTCTTTCAGAGGCCGGGACGGTTCCACAGCCTCATTTCTGCTTGAAGAATGCTAAGGTCTTAAGGCGTCCCTGGCCTTCAGGTGGCTTTTCACAAACTCAGTCAATTTCCTGAACCCGGCATCCAGCCCTTCTCCAGTGACGGCGCAGCAGGGTTGCACGTACCAGCACCGATTGCTACACAGCTTCTTCACCTTGAATATCCTGGTGATTTCCTCGGCACTCAGAGCTCCGGGCAAATCTTGTTTGTTGGCTAATATGACGACCGGCGCGTTTTTGATGTGTTCATTCTGCAAAATGTGCTTGAACTCTTTACAGGAGTCCTTGAGTCTCTGCTTGCCGTCGGAACAGTCCACCACGTACAGGAGCCCGTCTGCGTTCTCACAGTAGCAGTCCCAGACGGTGCGCATCTTCTCCTGCCCTCCAACATCCCACACGGTGAGCGGAAGATCACTCTCCAGCTGGACCATTTCCACGTTGAAGCCGATGGTTGGGATGGTTGTGAGAGTCTCGGCAAACTTTAACCTGTAAAGCAGAGTAGATTTCCCAGCCGAGTCGAGTCCCAGAAGAAGAATATGGGCTTGTTTGCCTTTGGGATTTTTAGAATTCAGCAATCCCATTTTGGGATTTTTCTTCCTTGAAGTTCTTTTCTTCCGACCAGGTACAGTGGTTCCTTCCCAATTCTTGCATGAAAACGCTTAGGGAGAAAAAGTAAGTAAGCGCCACATCTGTAGCTTGAGAGCAGGTGGCTGGCAGCTTCGTTTATATTGTAGCTTATCGACTTGATTACAGTCAAACAGCTTTATTTGCAGTCCCAGCCAATCCTGAGGAATCTGTGGGAGTAACCAGCCGGTGTCACAGTGGCTCAAAGGGGACATTCTTTGCCCGTGAGTAGGATTGGGAGTGGCCCGATGCTACAGCTTTATTCTCTCAGGTGCAAACGTTTAGAGGAAATCAAAGACTAAAAAAGACATTCCCAGGACCACCACCGGTTCTGACCTTTGGTTTTAAGTAGCTTGAACTAAACTCTTTAGTAGAACTATCTTATCCATTTGTAACTAAGTATCAGGGCTGTCTAACCACCTGCAGAGTTTATAGCCCTCTCTGTATCTAAATGCTTCCTCTTACCAGGTTACTCAGTGGGAAACTTTGAGCCTGCCAACCTCAGTCTCATAAGCAAAGCATCACTTCCAGGCAGGGAACTTACGCTATTCACAGAACCAAATTTCTCCAGGGAAATATTTTACCCATACACTTTTCCATACAACAGACCGGCTGAAGATGGCAAACTGACCGCGAGTGAACTTCATCAGAGCGATGATAAAGGAAAAAAAGAACACAGAAAGTCCATTGGGGGGTGGGGTTTTTAACAGAGATTCTAGGAGACAGAAAATGGGTGGAAGATGAGTGGTAATTGGCTTAGTGAGATAAAGCCGAGGCTTCGGGGTTGGGGCACTGGAGAAAGGCATCGGGAAGAACAGTGTTCATATATATATATATATTCCTAAAACAAGAAGTGGATAAGATTTAAAAAAAATAAAAGGAACTCAGAAAACAAAGACCAAGTCCTGAAAACTTATTTTGAAAAGCAGGTACTTTAAAGCCCTGTGGTGGTGGTGGTGGTGGTGCACGCCTTTAATCCCGGCACTCAGGGAGCAGAGGCAGGCGGATCTCTGAGTTCAAAGCCAGCCTGGTATGCAGAGTGAGTTCCAGGATGGCCAAAGCTACACAGAGAAACCCTGTCTCAGGGAAAAAGAAAAAGAGGGAATAAAAAAAAGATCTATTAGAAGCTTCATAATAGGAGCCAGGTGGTGGTAGTACACATCTTTAACACTAGCACTCAGGAGACAGAGGCAGGCGGATCTCTGTGTGTTCGAGGCCAGCCTGGTCTACAAGAGCTAGTTCCAGGACAGGCTCCAAAGTTACAGAGAAACCCTGTTTCAAGGAGAAAAAGAAGAAGAAGAAGAAGAAGAAGAAGAAGAAGAAGAAGAAGAAGAA